CAATCAAATTCAAATATAGTAGCAATTAAATTCAAATATTTTAGCAATCAAATTTGAACATCTTAGCAATTAAATTCAAACAGTGATATTTCATAATCTAGTAGCTTAAATCATACAATTTTGGTACTACAGTTATCCCCCTTTATAGTCACTTCCTTTATAATCACATTATATAAAAAACCCTCTTTATTATATTTTATACTCAAAAACAAATTACTATTAAACATATAAAAAACTACCTTTATATAAGCACATTTTTTAAAAAAGTTATTAAGTAAACAAAATGTGTGATTATAGAGGAGGTTGACTATATTTAACTTGTTTTGTCAAAACAAGTCAAATAATACCAAAATTATATAAATTTGACTAGATTATAAGATACTACTGTCCAAATTTGACTGCTAAGATATTCAAATTTGATAGTTATAATGTCTGAATTTGATTACTAGAATGTCTAAATTTAATTACTATAATATCTGAATTTGATTGTTATAATGTCCAAATTTGATTGCTTAGATGTCTGAAATTGGTATACAAAACCTGTATATATTATAGCTTAAGAAAATACTACTATTAAATTAGTAAAACATACAAAAATACTATGCTAAGGTACTATAGATCTGAATTGTTTAATCTATACTAAACTATAAATAGTATATAATTTGTATAACTATCCTAATAAAATATGCTAATATAATACAGTCAAACCTCCCTATAGTCACCTTCTATATAATCCCATTTTCTTTATAAACTCATTTATTTAAAAACAATATATTATTAAATATAATGAATTTGACCTCTATAATTGGCACACTTCTTTACAATCACGCTGTTTTGTATTCCAAGTGTGTGATTATAGAGAGGTTTGACTGTAATATCGAAGTCTAAAGGTCAAGTAAGAAACTCAAAGGTCTTATATACTTGTTTCTATACTAATTTTTGCTATATCTAATTTTAACATTGAAACCAACTAATTATTATTCATTAATTTAGAACGAAATCGCGTCGAGCGTAATAAAACTATATAACTCGAAATGAGGTTAGTATGCTAGAATCGTCGACCCACGTGATCATGTGAATCAGGTTATTCGTGTTGCGGTCAATTTTCTATGCTACACCACCTAACATAATTTGTTTTTTTTTTTTGCTGAATTTTACAGTTTCGCAGAATTTGAATGAAAATTTTTATCAAATTTGCTCAGGTGATTATCAATATACTTCGCTTAACAGTTAAATTTTGTATTTTACTTGTAATAATTAGGATGACGTCCAATAGAAACTTGTAAAATATGATCTATGGCACGTGATCTAATAATTTTTTAAAATTAATGCTAATATTCAAAAGAATATAAATTAATTTTTACACTTTCTCTTAATTCATTTTCCTGTAAATTAAGATTTGCACATGAAAAAATTTTAAAATCAATACGCCAATTCTACTCTGCAAATGGAATTGTTTCTAGCGAAGAGTTTAACCTTTTCATTAAATTACATCTCAAAAAATCAATCATGAAATTATTCGAACCAAAATATACTAATGAGTTTTTGCACAAGTAAAATTATATTTATTTTTTTGAATCAGCCAAAACAACAGCATTAGTTCATTATAACCCCAACAACCAATTAAAACTCTAATACATTTACAAAAGCATAAATTAATAACATATAACAATGTTATCAAATGTATGTTGGTTTAAATAAAAAAAATATAGAAAACGTCTATGTTGGAAAACTATTATAAAATTATGATATACAATGCTTATATCTACAAAAATAGTTGTAAGAATGCTGTTTCGGAAATTAATTAAATGAAAGTCCCATTCTTCCGATATTTTGGTTATAAATAACCAAATAGATGCGCAGTTTAGAAAAAAAATTCATCGGACAAAAAAAACAAAAAAAAAACAGTAACAGTAATATTAAATGTAAGAAATAGTACGGATATAATAATTTTGGGTATTTTTCATGTTTTTGTTTATAACTTAATAATTACACAAGCACAAATTCAAACTCACTCAGATCCGGTGAGCTTTTGTTAATTGGTTTTAATAGTTCTAGTGACGGCACTATACCTACAAAATCTTTTTCGTCTGATGGTGTATTATTTTCTATTATGATCGAATGAGAATTTGGTGGTTTAAAGGTAAAGCTTGAAGTGGAATTTCGGTTAATGGATGAGGTATTTGAACATCTACTTCTACATAAGTAATGATTGTCTAGTTGTGCTTCTTTAAGTAATTCTGTTAGTTCCTCAGTATCTGAATGTATGTTCTGGCAAAAAACTTGATCTTCAGATATGGCCTCTTTCAATAATTCTGACAAAGAATCATTATCTTGACATTTACTCTGACCTAAATGTTCATCCAATTGTGCTTCTCTAAGTAATTCTGCTAATATCCTGGTCGTCTCGGAGTCTTCACTACCTTGGCTGGACAAATGAACCCATTCCAAAAATTGGCTTTCACACATTTCTCTGGATAACATTATATTTGTATCCTCAT